AGATTAACCAGTGCTCATCTGGTCACTGATAGAAGTCACAAGATTGCTATATGCGGCTGATGAGAAAACGTATTTAGCAGTTTATATTTACTAAAATAATTGCATTTTCTTGTTCTTTGTATCGTGGGAGACTAGATATAGTGATTGCAGAGTCATGGATTTAGTAACACTTTAACAGATAAAATGTCTATGGAGCAATTACAGTTGAGGATTGAATTTATTTAAAAAAACAGAACACTATAGAATGCTAATCCAGTGAGCTATCCAATTGTCTTCAGGGATCAGGGATATTTTTTCCCAGTTAGAGCACATTGGAAAATGCTTCTTAGGGCTTATTTATACCCTCCCTGTACATCAACTGCTGGTTTAGGATTCTGACCTGCAAAACATAAATACTAATTTGTTTTGAGTATCTGTTCAAGCTTTTTTTTTCAATTTAAACTTTGTAAACTTTCAAATTTGCCTCACTGAACAAAAGCTATGGTTGGTGTTTTCACCGGTTTCTATTATGGGTGATCAGGCATCTGTTGTAAGTTGTGTAGGCTCTGAAATTATGTCCCTGCAATGTACACTTATACACACAATTTGCTTTGAAAGGAAATAATGATGACAGTGACAGACTTGGACTAGGCATGCCTTCTGCTGTGATGTTCTAAAATCAGCCATTAGAACCTAATAAAGCAGATCATCCAGGTTATTATTTGAAATGTTATTACTAGTCACTCTAAGGTCATCAGCTACATCATGTTTCAGTAAACACAGTAATATCAGCCTTACCACATGGTCCTTTTATCATGCTGAACTTTTCTCTAAAAATATGAAGCTGATTTTAAAAAATGTTCAGTATATATTGTATTAATATTAAAATACTCAAGCCTGAGGAGGGAAGGGTGATTTAGAGTATATTAAAACATATTTATAAAGAACGCATACTAAACTAGGTTACAGGCGATTTTATAACCAACAAAACTGACAAACTGTGTTTTACTAAACTGTGAATTGAGGAGAACAAACACATGCTTATAGTGGTCTTTCAATCAAAATGGAAAATTAAGTCATGAAATGGGACACAATCTACTTACTCTTGGTTTTCTGTAATGCAACAACCCAGTAATTTTGTAATGAACTTTCCAGTAAACAGGGCCTTTATTTAAGCAAAAGTTGTTGGTATCTCTTACTAATAGAAGTGCTCCTGATCAGCTTACATTTAGCCTTGGTGTATCTAAAGAACCTCACATTGGATGTCAAGCCATTTCACCTCTTGGGTTGAGCAGCCTTGGGCTGCAATGGAACAGTTGTATTAGGGAATTCTCTGAAACAAGTATATATGAATACATGCACACTTTAACCTTCATGGTTGGGGCACATTACGAGGGATGGAGGTCAGTCTGAAGTGGAAGTGGGTGATTGTGTCAGATAGAGCTGTGCACGATGGAAACATTTTGATTCGTTTCAGTTTCATTTATTAAGTAAATAATTATGTTTTGTCATTATTGTTGTTAGAATGATTCATTTTCGGAATTATTCATTATTTTGGGAGAGTATATATTCATTTTTTCCAAATTGAATAGGATAGTTCTGTTATTCTTGTTATTTCGGAAGATTGGCTATATTCATTTTATTGCAATTAATTAATACGTATTAATTTGTTATGCTATTAATTTGAATTAATTTCCCTATTCCCAACTGACTTCGTTTGTTGGGCTGCGCACATACAAATTAAACAAATGGTCTCTCAAGTTCAACCCCAATACAAAGTATCTTATTAAAATATTCACAATACGCTCACTAGAATAAAAACGAACGGATCTGAATCAATACAGATCATTCGTTATTTTACATTATTTCAGATGCTTCAAACATTAACAAAAGGACCAAACTATTGCATCATAGCATCCAAATAAAATTAATGAATACACATTAATTTGTTGTTTTTGTTATAGTTTCTGTCTGATTGGTTGAAATTCATTACTATTGTGATTTGGAGATTCAGGTACATCTACAAATTTTGTCTCAATTTCAATTTGTAACAAGATGAATTGCACATGTCTAGTGGCAGATGAAAGTAGCCCTGTTCATTAGGAGGACAGGTATGTTTTATGTATTTCACCTTGTGGTGGGATACTCATATTGGGACCCGCTGTAGCATGGGGTCAGCTTTGAGGCCTGGTCTGGGTGGGTACAAGAGTAAGGCCTTGCAAGAAGTACAAAGTTGGGGCTTCCTGTAATTTGCGTTATGAAGTAAACTGAATTCAGTACACAAGCAACCAAGGAATTCATCTGTTACGTGTCTAGAGTGGAACATCTAGGAGGACTAGCAAGGTATGGGGCATGCTTTGCTACCCCATCCTGTAATGGTTATCAACCTGGGGAGAGTGTAAGATGAGATGGCAGTGTCTGCTGCTTTCTGGTCAGAAAAGAAACAAGCCCCTAGGAACTGAAATGTGAAGGCGTAACTAAATGGCTGTTGGTTTCTAACCTGCCCTATAGGGGGCAGACTCCTTGACTCCGTGGCCCCACCTGCAACCTCCTTGCTGTTTCCCAGATATAGAAATCCTGATGTATCAAAGTAACACAAAAAGTTCCTCCACCTTAAAGTTTAAACCTTTTATGGAAGTAAAAAAAAGTGACTGGTGATACATACCAGCAAGTAGGAAGACTGAAGTTACATAGCACCTGTTTCAAGAAGCAAATCTACTCACTACAAATGTGAGGAGTTGTTAGAGACCACACAATTGCATTGAGGAAGATCTGCATCCTTTCATAGAGAGTAGCCACCCTACTTAGGGTACAGTAAAGTTGCTGGCAGAGCTCATTGCTTCCCTCCAGAGGCTCCTTCCAGCTGGTATATAACTATTTTCACCTACAGGACAGTTTTAGCAGTGTTTTCACTCTATTGTGCCTCCAAATTCCCATGATGCTTTCATGCCAGGTAGAAGCCAGTCAACATCATTTGCACCTGTTAAATGTGAAGAAAACTCCTCCTTCTGCAGTGACGGCATTGCTAAAGAGCCCACGGATTCTCATTTACCCAGCATCTCCCCCACAGCTCAGAGACATGGTTTATTATCTTATTTTAATGTGTTTTTTCTTTATTTCTATTTGCTTTCCCCACCATTTTTCAAGTTGTACTCTCAATGTAACTTCAAGATTTTATACACATGGTCTGAGCTGTTAAAGGATAGGAGGGTTTAGCTGGGTGTCAAGCAACACACAGGCCACAGGGTAAGACATAGTGAAGACAGTATAGTGAAACAGCGACTACTCAACAAGTAGCACATAGGATAGTGACTACACAGAGGCCTGCTACTCTGTCAGTGTCATTAACTCTATGACTTGTGGGAGCAGAGGATCACACATAGCTTCAAATATAAAAGACAGTAAAACATTCAATTTCCTTCTTCCCTGCTTTTGTAGACTTTTGTTTGCCAGCACATTAAGACAAGAAATGTTACTGGCTTGATTCTACATTGTCATGAGCTGTTTTTTCAAGACTTAGCCCCCGCAAACTCCATTAGCAGTAACAAAAACTATTGTGACTCCTTTATATTCTTTTTATAGGTCTGCCAGCTCCTCTTATTGACAGTCACAGTCACATTCACACCAGAGTCACATCCACCCCTAAAATGCAGAGTCTTCATAGAGAAGTCCATGGAGGACCCCAAACTCTTCCTGAAGGAAAACAATATCTGCTACAGGTGCTGCTCATTAGCATCTCACTTTGCAAAGGACTTTAAGGTCAGTGTAAACTGCACAGTGTGACATGCCAGATCACAACACAACTTTACATCCTGGGCCAGCCCCATGAACTGCAACACACTCACATCACCACTAAGCATGGCAGGGAGGAAGAGCACTCTGCTACGGCTACACTTGAAATCACTTCACAATGTACTGAGATCTGCAAAAAAGCCAAAGTTGGTAGGTCCCAAAATTTGTATGGCTAGAGTCTTCTGGGCAGGAAAAAATGATAAAGTGAAATTTTAAACTTTGTGCAATTCTTGATGACCAAAGTAAAAAGTCTTTACCCAGCTCAGCCTTCTTTGATATCTTGAGTATTAAAGGCCCCAGCATTCCCTACTTCCTAAAAACCTGTGCAGGAATTGTGGAGATGGTGGGGAGGAAAGCATCTGGCTATCATGTTCCATAGATGGGCAAATATGCCTGCTCTTAACAACGCCTATTGAATGCAACCAGATACAAAACTTGATCCTCAGACTCAGAAAATTCTGCTCCCTGGGAGAGATATATACGTACTACAAGTCCACAAAAGTGAGAGCCAAGATTAAAGGTCCCACAATGTTCCTTATGCTCAAAGGCTAGACCTAGGATGGAAAACTATAGGAGATACACTATATTGCCAAATATATTGGGAAGCCTGCCTTTACACACACATGAACTTTAATAGCATCCCAGTCTTAGGCTATATTGAGTTGGCCCACCCTTTGCAGCTAGAACAGCTTCAACTCTTCTGGGAAGGTTGTTCACAAGGTTTAGGAGTGTTTCTATGGGAATGTTTGACCATTCTTCCAGAAGCACATTTGTGAGGTCAGGCACTAATGAGAAGGCCTGGCTCACAATCTCCACTCTAATTCATCCCAAAGGTGTTCTATCGGGTTGAGGTTGAGGTCAGGACTGGAACAGGAAGGGCCATCCCCAAACTGTTCCCACAAAGTTGGGAGCATGAAATTGTCCAAAATGTTTTGATATGCTGACGCTTTAAGAGTTCCCTTCACTGGAACTAAGGACCAAGCCCAACCCCTGAAAAGCAACCTCACACCATAACCCCCCCCTCCACCAAACTTTACACTTGGCACAATGCAGTCAGGCAAGTAGCATTCTCCTGGCAGCTGTCAAACCCAGACATGTCCATCGAATTGCCAGACAGAGAAGTGTTATTTGTCACTCCAGAGAATTCGTCTCCACTGCTCTAGAGTCCAGTGATGGTGTGCTTTACACCACTGCATTCAATGCTTTGCATTGCACTTGGTGATGTAAGGCTTGGATGCAGCTGCTCGGCCATGGAAACCCATTCCATGAAACTCTCTACGTACTGTTGTGCTAATCTGAAGGCCACATGAAGTTTGGAGGTCTTTAGTTATTGACTCTGCAGACAGTTGGCGACTTCTGTACACTGTGCGCTTCAGCATGCGCTGACCCTGCTCTGTCATTTTACATGGCCTACCACTTTTTGGCTGAGTACCATCCTCCAGGGAACTGACAAACCCAGACATGTCCATCAGATTGCCAGGCATAGAAGTGTGTTTGGTGACTCCAGAGAACACATCTCCACTGCTATAGAGTCCAGTGGTTGCATACTTTACACCACTGCATCCAACGCTTTGCATTGCACTTGGTAATGTAAGGCTTGGATGCAGCTGCTTGGCCATGGAAACCCATTCCATGAAGTTCTCTATGCACTGTTGTTGTGCTAATCTGAAGGCCACATGAAGTTTGGAGGTCTTTATCTTTTGGCTCTGCAGACAGTTGACGACTTCTGCGCACTGTGCGCTTCAGCATGCGCTGACCCCACTCATTTTACGTGACCCATCACTTCATGATGTTTTTCCCAATTGATTCCACTTTTTTATAATACCACTAACAGTTGACCATGGAATATTTAGTATCAAGGAAAGTTCACGGATGGACTTATTGCACAGGTGGCAACCTATCATGGTACCATGCTTGAATTCACTGAGCTCCTGAGAATGACCCATTCTTTCACAAATGTTTGTAGAAGCAGTCTGCATGCCTAGGTGCTTGATTTTTACACCTGTGGCCATGGAGGTGATTGGAACATCTGAATCCAATGATTTGGAGGGGTGTCCAAATACTTTTGGCAATATAGTGTATCTGTGTAGGAAGCAAGCATAAATCAACATTTGTTAACAGCATGCTTACAGGTACACTACAGAACAGACCTTTCTCTTTACAGTTATGCCACAACCCTTTCTTCATAAAGGAATTGCCACACACCACCCATTTGCCTTATCCTTTGGTCTCTCTAGTGACTACCAAGCCTGAGACCATAGCCAAGATCCTTTAGGGTGCACAGATTTTCTAAAAACAAAAGATGGCAATCAGGTGGCAATGTCTATTGAGCAAAGGGACCTAATAAATGATGACACAAACAGAAGGATTGCACCTTTTTCCTTCAGATCACAAAGACAATTCATACCTTACAGAGAACAAGTACTAATGCATTTCTCTTCTAGGGCACAGAGGTGAGTTGTGGACTGGGGGAGAAGGGGTGAATTGTAGATGGGGAAAGATGAGTTGTGAACAAGGGGCACAGAGGTAAGCTGTGAAAGCGGGTTGCAAAGGTGAGCAGTGAAGGTTTGCTTTTGGGAAGGTGGGTTATTTGAAGGATGGAGACTTAATGAGGGACAGCAAAGCATGCAGAGTTCAGAGGTCAAGAGTATGTAATGTATGATATGGCATATATCTATATACACAACAATATTTACACAATCTTGACCACTCTATATGGAGGGGGTGCAGCAGTCAGGAGTGTGCACCACAACATACAGAATTCGTCTGTGAGGAATATATAAGGTACAGCATAGCTGACAAAGTGCAGTGATCAAAAGTATGTAATACACTGCCTAGAAAAAAACGGGGTCAGGATTATATAATGTATAGCACTGTTTACAGTGGTAGTGATCTGGAGTACTTAATGTATGATGCAGCATACAGATTGCAGCAGTCAGGATTGTGTAATGTACAGTTTACATTACATACTGGCAATATTTTGAATAATTTGCTGTGCAGTAAATATTCTAGTGTCACCAGATTTGAAGTACGGTTTGGTAATGTCATTATTGTGCTACTCGCTGTTTTCTTGCTGAAGAGGAAACGTTACCTGAGGACCTGAAAATGAAGCATCTCCCTGCTTTTTCTTCCATATTTCTGTTGGTCTGAGCTTCCTCATCCTCTCTTGCTGCTTCTTGATCATTACCCCACCAGTCATTAGATAACAAATTATTAGGGGTGAAGCTTTGACAAGAGAAAGCAATCCCTGCTCCTCAAGCAGGACAGCTGCCTACACAGGGAGACACGGTACAGAACAAGACATGGTAAGTCAGTCTGAGCAGCTGCAGGAAGCAGGCAAATCCAGAAAATAGTTTGAACTCTGCTTAGCTTGTTTAGGTACAGCTTCCATGGTAGAGCTCTTCTTTAAAATGAACCTGTTGCTTTGCCCTGCATAGGCAAAGTGCAGATTTACTTTAACTCATAACCTTCTCTCTAACACTCAACCTAGACATAGCACTTAACACAAACTCTAACAGTTAGCCTAAACCCTTATCACCTATCTGTGCCTCAAACCCTCAAAGTGGTTGTAAAGGCTCAAAGTGTTTTTTACCTTCATGCATTCTATGCATGAGGGTAAAAAACGTTCTCCGTGCAGCAGCTCCCCCAGCACCCCCTAATACTCACCTAAGCCCCCTCTCGATCCAGCAATGTGCACTGGAGTCTTGGCAATCCTGGAATTCTCTCTCTCATTGGCTGAGACAGCAGTTGGAGCCAATGAGAAGAGAGAGGAAGTGGGGCCAAGCCATGGCTCCGTGTGTGAAGGGACATACAGAGCACCTGGTGCCGCCATAGCAAGCTGCTTGCTGTGGGGGCACCGGACAGGACGAAGGGGCCAGGAGCTCAGGCGGGGGACCCAAGAAGAGGAGGATCTGGGCTGCTCTGTGCAAAACCATTACACAGAGCAAGTAAGTATAGAAATGTTTGCTCTTTTTTTTTTTAATTCAAGCCTTCAGAATCACTTTAAGCTAAAATCTAATCTACCAAACCAACCTTTCTCAGCCTGTGTTCCATGGAAGCATAGGGTTCCTTGAGCAATAAAAAGTTTCTGTCTCTTAGATAATTAACTACTGACAACAATGCTCTTTAAACTGTCTGTAAGTGTGAGATTCCAGTCAGTGACCACACATGTAAGAAACATTGTTCTCAGTGACCATCACACTAATGTATCTTGACCTGCACATGTTGTCATTATTAGCCGGGATTCCCTGAGACCAGAAAGTTATATTAAGGGTTCCTTCGTGTTAAAAGTTGAGAAAGGCTGCTCCAAACTCTAACCGCAACCGTAAAAATACGATAAACACCCTAAAACACTGACCTTAACACTAAATTAACCCCCAAAATCCCCAAATTTACACTAAAATAAACAAATCCCTTACTCTATCCAGGCCTTGGAGCAGCATTATTTCCTTATAATAGCCCTTTATTTGTTCAATAAAAGTGAAATATCCCATGGTTAAAACTATTGATAAAAACTGGGCATATTACTCAAGCCAAGGTTACTGTTGTTTAACTTAAATGTAAATGTTCACTTACTGAAACACAAATGAAGCAATGTATTTTCCACATATTACTGTGAAAACCTCGGAGAATAAAGAGCTGTCTGTGGCAAGTGCAGAATACAGAGATAAACCACTGCAGGGCACTATCTTTTTATTCCTGTCAGTAGTAAACTCTCCTAGTCAGCAGGGAGTACATAGTGTTGATTTGCTGAAAATCTTAGATTATATCAGCACAGTGGTGACTGCAGATTGGAGAGGGTAAAGGTAAAGGTGCCCAAAAGGTGAAACAACGCTGAAAGCTACAGCGGCAAAGGAAAAATGTCTTGACATTTAAAAGACACTAACAGGCCTCAGAAATAAAGCAACACACACTGGAGTCCTGAATCCAACAGACCTGAGAGAAATGTGTTATGGGGAATGAAGAACTAATAAAAAAAGTAGAAATATAAAAATAATATCACTCACATGTGTACTCATACTGTATGTGTTCCGCTGTTGCTTAGAAAACAATTATTTATTATCTGTTCATCTTTTTTTATAATATAATGTGAAGTTTTGCACCTATACAGTATGCATACATATACCTGCACATACATCGGGTATAAATATAGAGTTTAACCTCTTGACCTCTGGAAGATTTTACCCCCTTCATGACCAGGACATTTTTCGCTATTCAGCAAACTACACTAATTTAACTGGCAAGTGCTCAGTCATGCAAAACTGTACCCAAATGAAATTTATATCATTTTTCCACACAAATAGTGCTTTCTTTTGGTGGCATTTGATTACCACTAAGTTTTTAATTTTTTATTATATAAATGTAAAAAGACCCAACATTTGCACACACAAAACCCAGAATTTTTCTACTTTTTGTTATAAAACATATTTAAAAAAAAATCTAATTTCTTCATAAATTTAGGCCAAAATGTGTGCTGCTACACGCCTTTGCTAAACAAAAATCCCACAAATAACACTGCTTTTTGGAGACACTATACTATTGGGGACAATAGTATAGTTCTGGCAGTGACCAGGATACTGATCCAGACAGACACTATACTAGTACTGCTGGTGATCAGGGACTGTGACTATGATAGTGTGGAGGGCAATACTGGTCTGGCGCTAAATGACTCTGGCTGGGAGGGACACTAAGTAACTACAACTGACACTATCTGACATTGCTAGTAACACTAATACAGTGATCATACTGTACACTGTGACCAGGGGCGGACTGACAACTCATGGGGCCCCCAGGCAATAGGGGATCATGGGGCCCCTGTGACATTGCCCAAATTTAAAAAAGCCTATGAAGAAGGTACCAGGGGCATCCCATGGGGCCCCCTACTGACCCCGGGCCCTCGGGCAGTGCCCGACTTTCCAAATGGTCAGTCCACCCCTGACTGTGACTGTACTAATGACACTGGCTGGGTGACAGGGGTGATCAGGAGGGCAATCAAGGGGTTAACCATCTGCCTAACAAGTATATGTGTGCTGATTTTACTCACAGACTGGCTGGCTTTTCTTTCTACTCTCAGTTCTGAAAGGTAAATGAGAACAGAGAGCAGAACCAGCCAGATCTGTGATCTGTGTTTAAAAACACTGATCACTGCAGCTGTCAGCAGGTTCACAGCCAAAATCATTGGCTGAGAGCCTGCTGACAAACTTGTGCTGTGTCCAACCACGTGTGCCTGTAAAGCCGGAAGTTGCCCTGCGACATAAAGGTACGCTGCGGGGGAACAACAGAGCTGCCGGCTAGCAGTAAAAATTCTTATTTTGGATAGCAAGTGGTTAAAAGGGAATCTGACATGAGCCACAAATAAGATTAGGGTAAGATTAATGTTGAAATTCTCTGTCTCCACTGCGGCCACTACTTCCTTATAAGTAAGGCTAAACAATGTCCCAGTCACTGCCCTGGAAACAGCACGGAGCAGGGAAGTCAATGGTGGGCTACTTCCATCACAGGCTACTCAAAGTGGTGTCCTGCTTTGTAGCAGAGTCCCAGAAGGAAAACCGAAAAAATACCAAAATCATAATCATCTTTTCACCTCATAGGGTTGCAGAATTGCAGATAAGATAAGTGAAATGAAAAATGCATTGTACTGACAGTACTTTTTTTGCCCATGAAATGAGATCACCCTTTGGTACAGAAGAGTAGAACACGACCAAATTACTTCCATGAAATAGTAGAAATGCTATGACCAAATTTATTTCTCATCTACAACATACAAAGCCATCCACAACTCTACTCCAAGTTATATCACCAACTATGTCTCAAAATATCACCCAAACCATCTTCTTAGCTTCACCCAAGAGCAGGAGTTCTAGCTCCATCTTCACCTTCTCCCATGCTCACATAAAGGACTTCTCCAGTGCCTCTCCCTTCCTCTGGAACTCTCTACCTCAATCTGTTCGGCTATGTCCTGTTTACTCGAACTTTAAATCCCCGAAAACACATCTCCTCTGGGAAGCCTGTCCTGCCTCTACAACAATTAAAGGATAAGTTCACCTTTTAGA